TGGAAGTAGACTCCATACTGATCACTTTCTTCTGACAAAAGTATTGAAAGAGAAGCTGGGATTCAAGGTAAAATTAATTTAGTTTATCTTGCACAAATTATTACCCTTTAGATAGAAAACAGCATTTCAACATGGTAGCAATAAGGCTGAAATCCAACGATCATTTGGCATTTTTCTTTATACTGGAATTGTTTCTTCTTGTTCTTAGTGGAGCAGTTAAAAGCACCTGGCTTAGAATAAAGCTAAAGGAGTTCATTTAATATTGCCCTGTTTGTGAGGTTTTGTACGTCCACAGAAAGCTGGCTGAACCGATTTATGAATTTTGAACCTGGGCACATGTCCTCAGATGTCTGGTATTCTGAAGATGTAGAGAAAATCTAAATACAAATTCTGCTACAGGGTCTGGTTATTTCAGATTGGGAAGCACTTGACCGGCTTTACCATCCACATGGCTCAAACTATCGTCAAAGTATATTGTCTACTGTCAATGCAGGAATTGACATGGTAATATTAACTCTTCTAGTTAAAGCATGAATTAGACAATCTATGACATAACGTTTTCAACCTCTTGCCTCACTCAATTCTCAGGTCATGGTGCCTTTTAGATATGAACTGTTTTTGGAGGAGCTGTTATCTTTGGTACAATCTGGGGAAATACCAATGGACAGGATTAATGATTCTGTTGAAAGGATATTGAGAGTCAAATTTGTTGCCGGACTCTTTGAGCATCCATTCACGGACAGATCTTTGCTTGAGTTGGTTGGTAGTAAGGTGGTGCTCCATTCTGAGATGAACTTGATTGTTCAGCTTTTGTGTAGCATTTTGCGAACTTTTGCCTTTCTTGAAATTTGGCTTAGTTTAATTAAATTAGTATTTGAAAGATAGCCTTCAAATCCCCAATATGGTCTGCATCTGTCTAAGCATTTTGTGTTTTTCTCAAAAAATTTTAACAGATTTTGATGGTTCATTTGTTCCTTGTCAAGCCTTAAGCCTTGATTTCCCCATGAACGCTTGAAGCTATTTTTCTAATCCATTTATGTCAGACTTTTCTGCTTCTGATAGTGATAACATGAGTTTGTGGTAGGGTTGTGGTGCAACCTTTTGCTTCTTCCCTTGTAAGGTTCAACTAGGAGTCATGACTTTGGACTTGAACTGTACTCAAATTTAGCCTGTTATGCATTTGATTAAAGTCTCACTTTATTTCAAGTTCATTGAGAATGATTCAGCATGATTCACTATTTCAATTTAGATTGAGTATGTCTATGCACATTCAGTATTATTCAGTTTATTTTTTGTTGCATGATTGTTGTTTCAGCCACATCGAGAATTAGCACGTGAAGCTGTTCGAAAGTCTTTAGTTTTGTTGAAGAATGGAAAGGATCCAAAGAAACCCTTTCTTCCATTAGATAGGAAAGCAAAAAGAGTTCTTGTCACGGGAGTACATGCAGATGACCTTGGGTATCAGTGCGGAGGTTGGACTTGCACCTGGACTGGAACCAGTGGCAGGATAACCATAGGTAACTGTTTCTGCTCCCCTTGTTTTATTTATGGAGAATATGTTGTCTAAATGTAGAAAATTTTGGTTAATTAGCGAAACATGGGTTCCGGAGTTGATTAACGTGAGAATTAGGAAAAAGTAAGGAACATCTTTCAGATTGAATGCTGGAATGTGAACGTATTTTATTTCACCTACCTGACCTATTTATCAGACCAGGGCCAGCAGAGTTTTTCTTTTATTGAGAGAGCTGCTTTCTGGTTCAAGGCACAAAGTTTTAAAACCTGATATATTGGCTAGAGCAAGTAAATGTTTTCAGGCATTAAGCTTGTGAGTTTGTTTTTAAAGGTACAACCATATTGGATGCAATAAAAGAAGTAGTGGGAAGCAACACAGAAGTGATATATGAGAAAAATCCTTCGCCAGAAACCTTCACCAGCGAAGAATTTTCCTTCGCCATTGTAGCGGTTGGTGAGAGTCCATATGTGGAAACTGGAGGGGATGACCCGGTGCTCAAAATTCCTTTTAATGGAGATGAACTCATAAGCACAGTTGCTGACAGAGTTCCAACTGTGGTAATTCTGATTTCAGGGAGGCCCTTGGTTTTAGAGCACTCAACTTTGGAAAAGGTGGAAGCGTTTATAGCTGCTTGGTTGCCTGGAACTGAAGGAAGGGGGATCACAGATGTCCTCTTTGGAGATTATGCATTTCACGGACGCCTCCCAGTGACGTGGTTTAAAAGCGTTGATCAACTGCCAATGCATATAGAATCAAATTCATATGACCCTCTTTTTCCTTTGGGCTACGGGTTGACAGGCAAGAATGAAGAATTGTAATTTTTTTTTTTTTTAATAAAAAAAACTGACATTTGCTGGTCGTCCAGGACCAAATTCATGAAAGGTGCTGTGAGAAATTAGACCTCCAGTAGTTAATAAATTTAAAAAGCTCTTAAGACAGTATGTCCAAACCTTTTAGTTGTTTGCTTCGAAATGGGGAATTAAAGCTCTTTTTCTTTTTTCTTTTTTTCCAACACAAGGAGTATTCCAGTTTTGTCAGGCTAATCTCGCTGCGTTTGTGCATGCAGTCCATCTTTTAAGGATACACAAGCAAGCAAGCGGCAGAGAGGCGACTCTTAGTAGAGAATTAAAGCTCTTGGTATATCCATCTTGAATGAATAATAAAACAGAAAAGAAGCCAATTGATGTAATTTTATGGTACACCCAGAAAGTGACAAATACTGGACAGCTTTTCGCCTCTGTATTCGTACATGGGATCGTACTACATGGTTGTGGCTGGCTAATGGCTATCCCAAGTCCTCCCTCCCTCCCTCCAGTTTAGCTTTCTTCTACGTTGATGATGCAATCAGGTGATAATTATTATTACTTGTATAATATGGGGGGATGAGGGAGGGTACACAGACACGATGCATCTTCTGCTTTCCGTCCATCCTATATTCTCTCTCTCTCTCAAGCAACTAAAAGCCCCCACGAGATCATTTTCAGATCTCCGTGGGCCAATGCAGCTCTGTGGGAATTAAAACAAATTTGCTTCCCGAGTTAATACATATCGAGGCAATTTCATTTTTGGAGCCAGTAATTACTCCGTAGATTACCCGTCTCTCTCTCTAGCAAAGCAGGAGCTGTATTCTTTCTCGTTTGATTTTGGCAAAATTTGCTTTGATGAGGGAAGAATCAGAATGTTTTCTAATAATAGGAGAAACGAATTAGATAACCGAAAGTGTAAGATGGTGGGCTTAGATAGATGCGTGGCTGTAAGTGGTTAAGTTGCAGATAAAAATTCGAATCAGTTGAATTGAGGAAGGTGCTTAGGCTTCCTTGGCTGGTGCAACTTGCTGAAATGCTGTTCCTTTTTCCAAAAGATTGTAGTGTGGTTGGTCTTGTCGATTGCGATAGGAAAGTATTACTACCATAGATCACACTGCTGCTCTTTCTCTGCCCCCTAAGATTTACTACTAGCCCATTGGTTGGGACTGAATATACTAAATCCAAGTGACAAAGGTGGATTTTATGCTTCTTTTCTAAGTCTTTGGGGAGGAAGGTCACAGAAATTGCTGTATTAATTTTGGAAGTTAACCCTTTTTTAACTAGTAATTTCTTTCTTTTTGTTTATAAAAAAAAAAAAAACAAGTTCAAGTCTTCCTTTTTGTTTATATAAAAAAAAAAAGAGAATTATTTATCTCTCTTTTCAATAAAAACATGCTAGTACATATAATTTTTTATTATTATTATTACAAGAGACGGAACTAGAAAAGAGTTGGTACGACGTTTTGATGGTTTTGGTTTGCATCGTTTAATCTTTTTTTGGATTGTATTTTCTTAAAAATTTTTTAATAAAAAAATTACTGTAATAATTTGATGTCGCCTTGTTAAAAAAAGGTCAGCTCAACTCGGGGCTCAGGAAAAGGGGTGGTTCAGAACTAATTTTAGGCTGCATGGCACGAGAGCAGATCCTCTGTCCAATATTTTGTATCCAATTTCCTGTCCAATGTGAAACTACGTAGTTTTACTTATTATATCTGCTGATATGGCAACTAAAAATAGGTGGCTGTTTGGCTGTCTTATACTTCTTTTTCTTTCTTCTTTTTTGAGTTTTCTTTGTTTACACAACTTTGTTACAATTCCCATCTTTTTTAAATATTCTTTTGTATTTGAAATCCTTGATACTTTGTTTTAAAAAAGATGAGAATTGTAATAAAGTTGTGTAAACAAAGGAAACTCAAAAAAGAAGAAAGAAAAAGAAGTATAAGGCAGCCAAACAGCCACCTATTTTTAGTTGTCATATCAGCAAATATAATAAGTGAAACTACGTAGTTTCATATTAGACAGGAAATTGGACACAAAATATTGGACAGAGGATCTGCTCTCGCATGGCACTCATACAAGAAAGATAAGCAGCAGTACTAAAAATTTCCCTCTCGGAGAAGAAATCGAAGTGCTTCTTGCATAGGATATACGAGAAATAGGAGCGACGCGCGACGCGTGGGTTAAATAATTAGCGCACAAGAAGTACAGGCTGGTGAGTGAAAGAAAAGCCAAGGATGTTTGTCTCCGTCAACAGGGGCCATTACTATTCACTACTAAGCTCCATGTTTCAGAACAGTACTGGTGATGATACCTTGATACCTTCCCCCCCTCTCTTTTTAACTTTTTATATAATCCAGCCAGTTGGTACGGTACTCTTAGTATCACAAATCAATAATGATGCTTTCAAGGACTAGTTACTTCAGCACTCGTGCAACAGTCATACCAAATTTGACTACTGGATCCGATGGAGAAGAAGACACATTTTTGGTGAGTTTTTAGTCACAAAAGTGAAGTTCACAGCAATAGATTATTACCAAAAAAGCGCCATACATTCGCTCATGCAAACGCATATAAAAATTCAGAGAAATCTGGACGGGATCTTGTGCTGTACAATAGATCTTCCTGGCTTAATCATTAATCCGTGTTTCTTTAGGCAGGATCTTGTTACTTACTCAAAAGGGTCGCTTTAAAAGAGCTCAAAACATTTTATTTACAAGAAAAAGAAAAAAGGAAGCATACGATGCTTCAATTAGTGGGATTCAGACTCATCTTCTACTACTGTAGAGGCCTACCGCCTCCACGGTCAACCACGGTCAACCAAGAAATTTGTAGTCAAAATACTCAATAATAGGAGTTAGAACGGGCTGCTGAAATCAAATGGCTTCTTCGAAACTTTTCTACAGTGGACTCCAAGTCAAGTGCTCCGTGACTCGGCCGGCCAGTGTATTTGAGTCGAGCGTCCATTAGGATTTAAGAATGAAATGGCCGTTTCTTTTCAGTTGCGTTGGCTCAACCTCAAACTTGCACTCGAATTGGCATCCCTAGCAGCAGCAACAACAACAAATGCTCCAGACCTTTTGCTTACGATGCTAGGAAACTAAAAAATGAGTGCCATTTGTACCTGTAGCCATGGTTGAATTCGGCTCTGATCAGAATCCACTACCCATATACAGATATATATAGATATATACAGAAGCAGCAGCCTTTTAATGGAAAGCCGCCGCCTATCGCGATTTTTCCTAACATCAAGCATAACCGAGGAGGTTTTAACTTGCAAATGAATCCAATTCTACTGTCGTAGCATTATGCTACGGATCACCACGAGTACCCGTTTGTTATAAGGAGAAGTACAGAACTTTCATGCCCAAGGAACCTGCATTTTTGAAACCTGAACTTTTCCCAACACATTTCAACTACCAAAAGTCATGTCCCGAGGGAACACATTTACAGGATAAAGAAAAAAAGAAAAGAAAGCAGGAGAAACAAGCTATCTATTCAGTTGAAATTATGCACTTTCAGCCATTTTTAGAGTTTCCATTGACGGTTCCCATCTCATGCATGAGGATACTGATGCGTGGATTGCATCTGAAAAACCATATTTTGACTACCTACATAAGAATTATGCATACCACCTCTTTGCAAATCCTGACCCTGCATTTTAAGATCACAGGAGTTTACTCCGTGGGGAGGCATGAATATGTTTCCATGGCCCATGTTGAAATTCATGACTGCTCCATTACTATTCCCCTGATTCCACTGGAAAGCCATTTTGTGCATCGCAGTAGAATTCGGCTGCTGCTGGGAAATCACATTCGAAGTGTCCGGTGACGACGATTTTTTCCTGTCCGGAGAAGGGATCTGATTGTCGCTAAGGTTAACTGTTGTTATATCATGAATGCTTGCTCTTCTTTTATCTTTCCCACCAGAAAGTTGCCTGATAAAGTACTTTTGTGCATGGCTAGCCACTTGAGTTGGTGTTCTTGTGATCACGAAATTTCTTGAGATATTTCTCCAGTCCCCTTTTCCGTATTTTTTAAGCCCCATCAGAAACAACCTGCAAAAAATTTATGCACAACTCACGTGAAAAATTTTTTTTTTTTTAAAAAAAAGTAAGCAAAACGCAAGAATCTAATTCTGAATGTTTGGACTCAAATTCTTGTCCTCGAAAGATTTAAGCTATACTCAATTTCCTGACCAGCTCCAGGGAGACGAACAAAAAAAACTAATCAAAAGTTCCTTAAACTAAAAGTGTCAAATAAAACCACGAATGTAAAACTCATTACTTGTGCTCTTCTTCCGTCCAAGGTACACCTTTCTTCCTCTCTTGTTCTGAAGGCCTAGTAGCTGAGGATCTCTTCCCAGTTGCGATGAAAGATTGCTTGTATCCATCGAAGTTATGACCGCTCCCCCATTCCAAAGTAAAAGGAGAGGTACCATAACCAGGAATTGGAATTAGCCCAGCTTCTATGTTACTCACATCTTCTACCAGTTCCTTGTATTGCCTAATCACATCCATCACAGTTTTCCCTGGAACCACTGCTGCAACCTTTTGCCATCTATCTGGGGTATCCTTATCAAACACTGCAAGAGCATTCTCAAAAGCCTTGTTCTCCGCAGGAGTCCACTTTGTGGACTTGCTCTCCTCAACCAACCAACCCGAATTCGAAAGATAAGAAGCTGGGGGTAAAATCTCCATCTCCCACTTCATCAGAAACTGAAAAAAGTGGGAATTGCTAGGAAATTTGATTACACTTCACAAGATTTTGCAATCGCGCTGCATCGGGGATTCAGCTAGATAAGATATCTGAATGCAGTGAAACAGAGGAGAGGAGAGACAGAACAAGATAAAGAGAGAATCCAGTAGGGGAAAATGCAGAGAGGTGGAGATTTTACTATGGCATTATCAGTGTTAAATCAAGAAGCATTTGTGGGGAATCAGAATACTTTTTTTTTTTTTTCTGGTACAGCCACCTCCCTGAGGAATCTAAAGAATACCCACTTTTGGAAAATCAAAACAAAATATTGGAAAATTATGAAAATCCACCAAACGGTATTATTAACGGAAGTTAAACTATCTTGTTGAAGGTTTGGATTCTTAGGAAAATCTCAACCTCGATTTCCTTCCAGAATATGGGAGTAGAAAAAGAGCAGCTAGTAATAGAATTCAAACGTTTCAGAAAATATATATGTATATATATATTTGAGGAGCTTTGTAGAATTCAGAAAACAGGATAAGTGTATAAGTGAGATGAACTGGAAGTTGTTTTCCTAGCTTCAAACTCTTGATGTCCAAATTAGGTAAATAAACTGAAAGATGGTACAACAAACATGGCAAGTCTATGAAGAAGCTGGAAGATGGAAAAACTCAAGTGAGAAAAAAAGGGAGGGGCAAAGAAGAGGGTGTGGGATGGCTGTACTCAAAATTCAGAGAGGAAACTCGGGTTTTTGTGAAGGAAAAAGTTGGAAAGTTTTGTGCTTTCTCCCCTTTTCCCTTGATGTATGAGCAACAAAGCAGAAAAAAAATTGAAAAGAAAAGAAAAGAAGCAAAGGGAAAAGACGATGAGAATGAAGAAAAAGTAAACTAGCAGGCTTCAAGGAATGAATCTAACTAGTGTAAACATTTTTCCTCTTCTTTGTCAAAAATCTTTGAACAGAGATCCATAGAGCCCAAAAAAAAAAAAAACAGCGGAGAGAGAGAGAGAGGGAGCTGAAGGTGGTGAATTCTGATTGGATTGGATGGTGTTTGTGGATACTGCAACTTATGAAAAGTTTTCTTATTATTTATATATACATACACATACACTCCTTCTGTCTTTTTTTTCTTTTCTCTCTCTCTCTCTCTTTTTTAATTAAACAACAAGAATTATACGTAACAGGGAACATTTTTTTTTTTTTGGGGGGTATTAATCTCAATAATAAATGAAGCATGGGTTGGCAATTCATGATGATTCATGGAAGCTCAACCTTGTAGGCCTCGTCAATAATGGGGCCCAATCTATATATATGCTGACCACTAACAAGAAGGTTTATGGGATTGTGAAAGTAATTATTAGACAAACAAATAAATTCTGCCCCCGTGGGGTTCTTTCCCACGTCGGTAACGGGGGGTTTGGAAATGGGTAGATAAGTCCTATGGACGTCTTAAAAAATTGCCGGCTTTTGCCGAATTCTTGAGTTTCTTCAAGAAAATGTCAGAAAAAACAGAAACTGCTGGGGGGTCATACCGGGGTTGGTGGTGGTTCGTTAGCTCTTAGTAGAAGCCGTCCTGCTGGGCTTGCCCTTGTGGGGGTTCTTTCCCACATCAGTAATAGGGGGGTTTGGGAATGGGTAGATAAGTCCCTTGGGCGCCTTCAAAAGTTGCCGGCTTTTGAAGGTTGCTCGGGGACCTAGGTTTATCTTGCCGAATTCTTGAATTTCTTCAAGAAAATGTCAGAAAAAAAAAACAAATAAATTCACATATGGCTGGCTAGTAGTAGTGCCTACTATCACTTTTGCGTTTTTTTTTTTTAAAAAAATTTTAACTGAAAGCCCATCTGCATATTATTATTGAATAAAAAGTAGTAGTGGGTGGTACCAGGACTGGGACTCCTAAACTATAACAAACTCGACTTATGTTCCAGAATCTCAACGCCAAAGTTATTGGGAGCATTGGGTTCCATACTTCCCAATTGTTTCATGGCACCGCATCTTCTGTAATTATTAGCAGTTGTTAGCTTTGTAAATACATGCCTACAGGTTTTCAAGGTCAACAGGTGCAGGGCTAGCCAATCAAATTTCTGGTTGTGGGAAAGGTCAACCAGCTCTAAATAAGGATTAAGATTGACTAATTTTTCATATTAAAAGACAGGCTAAGCCATGTCTTAGTGAGTTTAACGAATAGGTGGTTTATCCCTTGAAAGTGATCGCTGCATGGAACGAGTCATCAGCCTTTTTCATGTTCAAAAAAAAAAAAAAGATTTTTTTTCCTTTTTTTTTTTTTAACGATAGAAAGAAAATGTTTGATAGGTAAAAGAAAAAGATACTTGAATTTTACGGCTTGGCTTTTCCAACTCCGTTTGAATGAACTGTTTTTTAGGTGATTTTGCAAAATTTTTACTATAACAGTAAACATGGAAAACTTTTACTATAAATATTTATAAAAATATTTAATATATTGTATGAATGAAATATTTCTTAAATTATTTTTATTTGTCTGTTATTGTAATATTGTATTTGAAAAACTTGTCTTTGAATAAATGGCCACGGATCTAAAATTCTTGCAGCTTGGGAATTGTAGTGTATTTTTCTTTTCCAAGGGATGGGCATTTGCCACATCTCCTTTTTTTTTTTTCAACATCTCCTTTGTGTACGGTCCAGTTCATTCCTAGCGCAATTATTCTAGTTTCCACTAGGACAAAATGTATTCATTTTTGTCCCGGTTGAGTACGATGCCTATCAAATCAAAGTTTCCAAAATAGACGAATGATAAGTGAAAAAAATGATTGGCATGATTCTACAAAATGGAAACAAAGCTCAATTGCTTTAACTCTCTATTAGCTATTATTGTTAATTGATAACATTGCATGCACGTAATCGTATAGGTCATATTTAGATAGGAAATTATTTGAAATGATTTTTTAAAAAAAAAAAATAATACCGTAACACATGTTTTTGATATGAAGTTCGTGAAATAAAAAATATATTTACGATATTACTAAATAAAATCATGCAAATGATAAACTATCAAAACAAATGATTCACTGCAGCTCTCCCGTCAAAGTTCAAACAGCAGTAACAGCTTTCGTTTTCACGGCTTTGGGGTCCAAGAAGTAGCCGCCAAATAACGGTTCTGATCGAATTTCAATTTCACAACAAAACAAATTACAACATAATATTGTAGGGCCGCTGCCCCACATCCAATTCGTGAATGGCTTTCCACCGGGTCACTTCCCACCCCAACCCATCATCCTTTAGGCCTAAAATCTCATGCCTGCCACCTCATTCCCAAAAAGATGCCTTCCCGAATCACAGTTACCCCTCCCAAACTGTAGGACCCAATCAAACCCTTCGTTTCAGTACCTCGCCGACACGTCAGATCCCAACTTTTAGGCATTCCATGAACCCACCCGCACCTGATCCAGACGCAACCTTGGCCTGTAGTCATGCCAACCGCCGCGCTCTCTCTCTTAACCTTTTGCCGGTTAGTGGAAACATGGTTGGAGGGATATTAACATACACAGTCGCATCAACAGTGGCGTTTGCACCACAATCCAATTCCACCATCCGATTTAAGCTGGGCCCCACGATATGGTCATGATCTTTGGTCTTTGCCGCGTGATCTTATAACAGTGGTTTTTTTTTTTTAACCAATCGGGCGGTCCCCTTCTGTCTTTTCCGATGTGACCAACTGCTCCACTGCTTTTGTCTCTCCCCCCCTCCCTCGTATGCTCTCCTCCTTTGTGCCACTCCCCATTGGAAATCTACACGTCTAGGGCCTCCCCCACAGCTTACCCTGCCCAGAGAGAATTGCTGTAAATTGCCCAATTCGCCCTTCGATTTGTTCGGATGTTGGGTCATTCACAGGGGTGTTATGGGGAAATAACATGGCCCACTCGCTCATTTCTAAAGCGATTCACATTGTTGGATTCACATGGGTAGGTTGGATTAAAGGCAATAATAATTGAAACCCAGTCCTTTCTTTGTGTTTTGGGCTTTAGTGGACCCCCAATTTTAGGCCCATAACTTAGACTGGCTAAACTCGTCATTAAAGTTGGTTCAGAGGTTTTTAACCTTGATTTTGCATGGGTTTTGTGCTCCGTCTCAAACCTAACACGATCGTAATAATAACATGTCTTTGCACTGGAACAAAAATCCCACAGTGTTTGAAGCGTTACAGAAAATCTCGGCTTAGTTTCTTAAAATTTGAGCTGATAATGACAGAGAGAATCTGCTTAGTTTCTTTTGTTCACATTAGTCTCAATATAACGTCTAAACAAATTTTCGATACGTCCAATTTGCAAACCCTTCACATGCAAGGTGCCCCAGGGAAAAAGGAAAATGATTCTGACTTCTTTTTACAATCAAAGGAACCATGCATCAGGAAAATGGTTCTGACTTCTTTTTATCGCTCGATATATATATATATTTTTTAAGCAGTTTTGAAGTTTTTTAGACAAAAGCTAAGCTGAAAGCCTGAAATATAGAGGTACTTTGTGGTTAAATTTTGCAGCGCATTGATTAAATTTGGTATTTAGAACCAAAAAGGGGGGAAAATCTTTAATTGCTCCAAAGACATTCTTAGTGGGTTTTTTTTTCTTGGCTTTTTCTGAGTTTGAATCCTTATCATGTCAGTTAACTAAGACTGTTTGATAATTCAGTTCAGCACTTAAATTTAATATATTCATATCTTAACACATGCAGATCGTTTGATAATAAAAAATTGAACATTTAAATTAATTAAGTGGCACTGAATTTTTTAAGCAAAACTTACTCCCAAAATTAAGTGATAAACTATTCACTTATTACTAAATGTGATATACAGCCAAATATATTAGATTTAATATTTAACAATTTAATAATTTAATGGATTCAGATTTCAAACTTCAGTTTTATGAAACGCACCCTAAAACCATACTTTAGAGTGCATAAATTGCACTATTCTGAGCTAAAGGTGAAGTTAAACCTCTCATATTAGGTTCATATCCCCTGATATAAGCAAATCAATGTGAATTCTAAATTATAGGGCAAAAAATGATTTGGGGTAAAAATTTAAACGCTTTCAATTTTATTACTAGATGATTTCCAAATGGTATACCAAATACTAATGAGCATGGATATCTAACACTATCATTCCTAACTATCATATCAATTCACCCAATCCCCCCCCCCTCCCCCCATGGGGGGGCTAACTCTATAATTTGCTTTCCGGTTCACTATTTCAATTATTCAATGGATGCTGATATTCATGCATCACAATCCCCTCTGTATTTAGCCATTTGCATATTTCAGTGAGTTGTGGGAATCAAACTGCCATGCACTTAAATTTCGTCCCACTATTGTCAATTAATATTCCACCAACTTCCTGCATGCTCTCTTTTTTCTTCCTTGTGCAGCACTTTTTTTTTAAAAAAAAATTTGTGTTCAAATTCTTGATGTCATCGGAACATTAGAAATACTACCATAAGCACTTTGATTAGTCACATTACTATTATTGCTCTGACAATGGTACTACTGTAGCGTCAATAGCAATTAATCACTTTTTTTTGGCTCAAATGGAGCCAATAGTGCTGGGTTTTTTTTTTTTTTTTTAAAGCAATGTTGACGGTAAAGTTCTATTTTTCGTATGGATAATAAGGTCGAAGGTGAGAATTTTCATGTTTGCTAAGGAGTATTTATTTACAACTTAATTTTGACCTATTTTTTAATTATTTTATTATTAGAGAGAGAGAGAGGATGAGGAGGAAATGATGGATCCATCATGCTGGGCAATGGGCGGGGCAGGCTAAAGTAGAGGAGTACTAGCCATTTTGAGCTTTGAGGAGAGCAATTTTACAACCCAAAATGAGCACAACCCAGAGGAGGAAGGAGTGGAAGATTCTTTAGGTCACATGTAACATGTTACACTGTTATAGACTGGCGGAGGCCATGTCGCCCTTCTTTAATTGGGATGCCTCGATTTTCGGAACCCTCTGTTCAGTGGGACCACGTGTCCCTTCATACGGAGAGGAGGAGGGGCCCGGCCTCCTTCATACGGAGAGTTGTCTCTCATTTT